TAACATCGTTTCGCGATGAATGGGTGCTGCTTGATGTCGATCTCTTGCGCACTGTAGTCGCGAAGGGAATAAGAATGGCCTTAAAACTACACCAGGATCACTTTATGAGTCCAGAACAGTACGTCGAATCAGTGGCGCTCTACGAAGCCATCGACAATCATGATCAGAATCTCGTTATCAGTCACGAAGCGGATCCGCTTTGGAGAAATGCTGTATTAAGTGGAGCACCCAGTCTGCTAGCACTCAGGTTTCTATCTCGCAAAATGAAAATTGCGGAAATAGCAATTAAAATGAACTTTTGACATTTTCAGACATGTGCTTGATGATGGCATAGACGAGTACAAAGTGATAATGCTCAACAAGCGTTACTTGAGCTTCCGAGTGATCAAAATGAACCGTGAATGCGTTCGTGGACTTTGGGCCGGCCAGCAACAGGAGCTGGTCTATCTGAGAAACAGAAATCCGGAACGTGGCTCGATACAGAACGCTAAACAAGCTCTAAGAAATATAATCAACAGTTCTTGTGATCAACCGATCGGGTATCCGATTTACGTCTCCCCTTTGACGACTAGCTACGCTGAGACTAACGAATATTTGTGCTCGATAATCGGAGGACCATTAACTTTCGGTACTATAAAAAGCACTGTGTTGAAATTATGGAGAAGGTACATATTTAGAATGAAGATGATCTTATCTCAAACTATATGATTCAATATCTAATTTTAAGTAGACAACACAATAAATTGATCTCTGTATCTGGCAATTGAACTTTTCTCATTTTTAGAATAAGAAGAAGGTGTGGTCAAGGTTGTTCCTCAGGCGGTACTGGTTCTCAAGATGATGGAGGCTTCGGAAATGATGGAGTATACGCGATGACTACATACAACATACATTCTGGTATTTGCAAATATTTATTTGATAATCATCAATGTTATTGCAATAGACCATACAACAATCCCAACAACAATCTCATATTTATGTTATATTATTCTTACTTACAATTTATGAATGATAGGCTATGCTCAATCGGGTCACAACACTTCCGGTTCTCAATCAATGGAGTCTGGCTGTCAAATCGGCGGTTCGACTGGTCGGGGTTCCCTCGGTCGTGCAAATACGGGTTCTCTTGGTGGTAACAGAGGCTCGCTAGCTTCCGTCGGGAAGCCAACCAGCTCGACACTCGCCAGTTTGGCCGGACTTCTCAGTAATAATGATATTAAAATGGAGACGAAGAGCGAGACGAGTTTCTCCAGCAAGCTAGAAAAAGAGGAAGTTTTTCAAAGAGTTCGTGTAAGTATCATAGCATCGAGTTTACATTCAACTTATTATAAATTATATGTAAAAATGTCTTAGAATTACTCTCAACCACATCAATTCCATTAGTCATCGAATTAATAAAAAATGAATTGTTTAAAATTATATCTGACGTTTTATTCAAAATTTAAGTGTTATAGCTTGTTTGAAACTTTTAATCGCTATCTGATTCCATAGTATTATTGGTAGATTTATATGAAAGAGATAGAAATATTTTATAAAAATATATTGAATCATTAATGAGGCGGTTTTTCTTGAACAGATTATGGATCCTAATCAAGTATACGATGCCATCAATTTGGGTCGACGTATAGATGTGATTTGGCCAGACGAAAGGATGCGACAGCAAGGTGGTCGTTCCGGCTGGCAACATTGGGTACCAGAGAGAGGCATGGAAGGTTGCGTAGTTCATCGTTGGTCGCCGAATCATCGCGATCCCAATCGACGATCGCACGTCGACAAAGTCATCCTGCTCGTGAAGATCGAGGACAAGTATGTGCCGATAGCCGAGCAAGGCGTACGCGATCTGGGAGCAGAGGTTTAGCATAACATCTCCGAAACGCGTCAACATACAGTCATTTTTGTACACTTGTTCTACCGACTAACAGACTAACTTGTGGATGTATTCCATACGTATCGACTGCTGGCCATCTGCGATCTGATTTTCGCTCGAAAGTCTTGCCTGACATCAACAAGACGTGAAAGCGTGGAAAATTAATTAATTTCTAATGCGAATAAATGTATCATACTGACAATGTCGAACGCTAGTTACCTACTTCCACGAAGTCAATACTCGCCATTAGATCGTAAATTGAAGGACTCGGATCAACGACATGCTCAATCACGTGAGATCCTTAACTTATTTCGATTGACAAGTTTCACTGTGGTTACAATCGCAATGTCCAGCATCTCGTTTCTCCTGCTTTCTTTTCAGGCTATCGAAGAATTTACGATATTTTTCACTTATTTCACTAGGATTGTCCGTGAAACTTCCTTCGTATCTTTCTCCTAGCATGTTGTTGCCGCAAACCCCTTCGATTTAGTCTCATTTTTGTTGATATTGTACTTAGAAGTTTTGCAGATACGATTCGATAATATTCCTCGTCGGATTCAATGTCCTGTTCTTTTCATCTTGATCGTCATTGAATCGTTAAAGTTTCGGACATTTCGATGCGAAACTCAAATATGTTGCAAGAATTGTAGAGACTGTACAGAGAGAGGAGACAGAGAGATATATATACAAATATTTTATCACCTTGTAAGTACTATGGATATATATATTGTTATTTCTCACGAATTATATGAGAAGATAAAATGCCAATCGCCAAGTTATTCAATGCAATCCAAATTGTATCATGTTGTACCATATATACTGTATATTAAAATATGATGATATATTAGTTCTTTTATGGGACGGAACAGATGTTACTTGTTGCCCAATGTATCTAGATTATTTACTACCGGTTAATAGAGAAAAGGTAGCGTCCGAGCGCATTCCTCTTCCACTAATCTGATGTAAATGCGGTATATATTTTTTGGCAGTGAAAGAAAGGATAAAAAGAAAAGAATGAATCACAAAATAGAAGTATATTATTTATGGATATGTAATAATGTATCATATAAACGAGAGGGAACCTCTTTAAATGTACTATTGCTGCATAGCAGATGCAACAAGTGGCATCGATAGGATTAATTGTATATAAAAATGTTATTCGTGTTTTTCTACATTTTGTTACGATTCTCTTTTTTAAAAAGTAAGAGCATTGTAGATATATAAATTGTATATACGTCGTTATATGTCGTTCAATGCCGCATTGTCGCAGACTTCAAAGCGTCCAGGATCTATTCTACTTGAGTATACATATAATTTTGCGGGATCACGAAGTCGCTCTAGCAGGACATTTCGTCATTTCGTTCATTTCCACACCCGTGTCCATGTACAAAAGCTCTCGAATTTGTGCTTGGTATTACTTAATTACTCGCAGGATTGTTAGTCGACAGTACATTTACGTCCGATGAATATCTCGTTAGATATTATGTGTTGATGATATCATATATTGAGTACACTGATATAATGCTTCATCGGGCAACGAAGTGTATGTAACGTTACCCTTAAGAGAAAATTACGAATCGTTTCTTTTTTCTTTTTTTTTTCTTCTAATTTTGTATATAATCTCTGTAAATCAATTCTGCTTCACTTATTTCCTTATAAATGTTATACGAATTAGAGACGTAGATACTGATACTGATACTGATTATTTAAATAATAAGAAACGCAAGGTTGCTTGCAAAAAATATGCTTAAATCTGAAGTGAATATGCTTGAATCTTATGCATTAAATCATAATGCATAAGTATAATGCATATACTTAACTCGTTCGTTCGTTATAGAAAAAAATATATATGTATATGTATATATACATAAAATATATAAATATTCATATATAGAAAAGAATAATAGTTTTTTGCAAGTGACCACAGAATCACAGCATTGCCTTATCATGGTGTCTTAAAAAGCACCTGACTGATAATGAAAAAGATTATAGCTAGTCTTTTAATTAAATGTTGGTAACACATTTATGTATCGCTTGCTGCCGAAAGATGCAAGGGAGTGGGAAGGGGGAGGAAGGATGCTCTTTCACCACAGAATTACGTGAAGTAATAATCTATTATAATCTCTGGCCTACTATATCTTTAATGGACAGTACTTTCGTACACTGATTGTACACAATGATCAACAATAAACGAAGAAATTGAAATCTGATTAGATAATGATTTATCTTGGCTGCACTGCCACGAAGTGATTTACGTAGCTATTAAAGTAACTGTCCTCTAGCCTCGAATAACTTATTGAAATTAATATATACATTTTATACAATTTAAGATAGCGTACAAATTATCTATTGAACATTATTATTATTATTATTAATTATATTATTAAACGAAATTAAGTTATATCAGAAAAATATATATATATATGTGTGTATAAAGTGTATTCTAAAAATATGTATCATCATACGTAAAAAAAAAATAACGCAATTCGTATCACTTCGGAAATTTATCATTAATGCACATAATTCGTTATCAAGCTGATTCGTCAAGTGATTTTTTTTACTAGATTTATACGCTACTTATGTAAATGTTAAGTGAAGATACGAATACTATATCGAGTGAAAAGTCGTGTCTATAAAAAGACATATATATATGTATGTGTGTGGTGTGTATATATATGTATATATATATCACAAGTGTTTACAGGTTTTGCAATAGATTCTATAATTTTTTTCTATGATATAGAAAAATTTCTTTTGCCTCTTTTGAATATTTTAAGGAAAATTTCTAACATCTTTTTGGTCGATTCAAGAATATAGGCTGTTAAATGAGCTCTATATTATAGAATATCTAAATAGAAGTATAAATATTTCAATATAATATATATAATTTGGACATCAACAGATTTATGAATATTAATACGTATACATTAATTAAGTGATCTATATATTGCCATTTCACACAACAAATATATATATATATATATATATATATATATATATATCTAAAATTTTTACTCACATAGTGCTTATCTAAGCATGATAAGATAAAAAAGGCCATAATTTTTGGACGAAATAACTTGAAATGTTATATTCTCTCTACAAGTATGAAAATATATTTAGTGATAGAGAGAAATGGAAGCATAAAGTGTGTATTATATATAATTTACTATACTGCCATGACTAGGATTTGGTATCGTTACTTTCCGTAATTATTGGTCCTTCGTTCGTTAGTTTTTGTATTAAATTCTCTATCATCTCGTTGTTGACTAAACCGATAAATTTGTCTACGATTAAGCCATTCGAAATCGCTATCACTGCAGGTACAGCTTTCACCTCGAAGACGTGTACCAATTCAGGATTCTCTTCTACATCAACTATAGCTAGATCTAACTTATCCATAGGCTCTATAAGTTCTATTAACTTAGGTGTCAATATTTTACAAGGATCGCACCAATCCGCGTGAAAATTGACTATAACTGGCACAGTGCCGTTCATCACCTTATTCACAAATTCGCTGTTATTATTTATCTCGTATCGCTTATTATTCTGGCGAAATAATGAAATACGTCTCACCACAGATGGTATGCAATTTCTTATACTGCACAACATTGTTCCTCTTTTCTTCTTTTTTCTTTTTACTGTGATTTGATGTATAATACAGATGAATGGTCGATGACTACTACGTTTATGCGAGATGAACTTTACATTTATAAATTAAGTCTTGCACATATTGAATATCTTCATGCTTGTTGGCGAGCAAGAGTACCTAAAAAGAAAATTGTTACAATAGTCAATCATATATAACAATGCAATATTTATCTTTTAGGAACTATCACTATATATAAGTTTCAATTTTACCATGATGATAACATCCTTACATTATTAATTTAAAGTATACTGAAAATATTCGCAAAAGAGAGAACCCAGGTGGTTATTCTAACTGGTCTAACGTCTCCCAATCCGAATTTGATATATCCCACAATGGAAATTATGGATGAGATAAAACACACAATCAAAATTATTATACGCCAGATGAAAAGTCGGTCGTACACCTAAAAAACAAGGATCTATTTAGATATGTAGAATACTCATAATCAGTTACATAATTTCTTTAAGATATAAATGATTTTATTCCATGTTACATTATTTTTATCTCAACTATTTTATTTACATCTGATAATAAAAGATAAATTAAATTGCAATAATTAATCTCTAAAATAAAACCTATTATGGAAGTAATTTTAAAAAGTTCCAGATTTCGAAACTTTTGCAAAGTAGGTAACTTTTGTAAATTAATGAGCTTATATTAATTAATGAAAGCAATTTGTATCCATAATTCATGAAGTAATTTAGACAGATGCTCCAAATTCCGATTAACTTAAACGATGACTATTTCGACAGTTGCTCCCAGCAAGATTTCTGATTATATTATTCGACCTTCTCGATCAATTTTTTAAACAAAAAACTGATAATTTCATTCAGGCTAAGAGGACACTTGCAAAAAAATAGATATATTATTCGAATGAGCTAATCGGGGTTTAATTGTGAATGCGTTCATCGTAATCTGATTGAATGAATGAGTCGATCGGAATGTCTACAAAGAGTACGACGAATATTCAACCGTAATTCCTCTCACAATCTCTCCCAATAAAATTTCAACGATCGTACCTTATTGTCCGTGGGAGCGGGCCTCTCTGACGCGCGCGGCACTTTGAGCAAAATATACGTGAATGCGCTCACGAGCAGTATCGCGATTATACAGATCCAGCCGATCTTTTTTTCGATGCGCAACGATATCAGGAATATCAGCGCGACCAGCACCCACAAAGTAAGAATGGAAAATAATCCCACGCCGACGCCAAATATCAAGGTTGTCATACCTCCGGGAAAAAGAATGGGAGGACGGTGCGAGAATTGTCATCAGGACAGGGTGTATATTTAACTTTTTGGCTATAGTGTATGTTTTATACTACAGGATGGTAGGTGACGTTTGCAGCTGACCTGAACGTTTCGCGACCTGTGCATTTACAGAAATCTGTAAAGAAATAACCATAGGGCTTGGACGTGTATTTGAAATACTTTTATTTAAAACACAGTATTTGCAAGTGTATTTTGTATTTCAGCGGAGTACATCCCTTAGAAATTTAATACTAATACTTAATTCCAACACCTAATATATATCACTTAATCTTAATAATAAATATAATATAATCTCACTTATATATTTTCAATATTAAAAGTACTGTTAATAACACTAATAATATTCAAAGTGATTAACTGGTTAATACTAGTATATATTAATAAGTTTCTACAAGGAATGAATATAATTTAAATTCGTATTTATAAAATCGTAAGATTGAACATTTTTGTGTATTTTGTATTCAAATAATAACATTAAGATTGATTGTTAATTTCGGTATTTGAAATACAAAATACAAACAAACGAAATACAACATACCTTTATATGCTTCACAATATCTCGCACTTCAATCATGGACAAAATTTTTTAATCTGTAAAGAAGAAAAAAGTAATTATTATACCAGAATTATATGGTTTAGTCAACAGTATGGTTTTAGAATTCCTTTAATATTAATAGATATAAAAATAATAAATAATTTTTGATTATCGAGGGGCTGTACTGTATATTTGTTAGCCGCGCATTGCAGGGATTTGCATTACCGAGTTTCTATCGATAAAACAGATATTTACTGAACTATCGATATAATAGAACGCTTCTCTAATTCGTCTATCTAATGTTTGTATACAAACGCACAGTAGATGTAAAAAAATTTCGAAGTTCTGTTTCTGAAGTGTTTCTTTTGAATTGTTCCACTTTCCGAAAAAAGATGGACACGAATGTAGATCTTTTAAAATTTACCAAGCAGACCGAAACGTTATTGTGCGGCGTGGGGGCACAGAATTTAATAAAGGAGTGCAAAAGGAGGAATATATCAACTTATGCGTTGCATAGATTGACCAAGGAGGATTTTATACAACTTGGTAATATGTTTATTCAATATGTTTGATACCAGCACCTTCTATTTACAAAGATTTGAATTATTGCAATTAATATGTAATTTTATGCATAATATTTCTGTTAAAAATCTGTAAAAGTACATTATTAGGTTAAAATTTAGAAGTTCTAGTAAAATGCCATGTAAATTATAACTTAATTCGGCATGCAGTTTACAGGATATATGTATAAAATTCACACTGAATTATTTAAGTATTAAAACCGTTTAAGACTTTTATTTTCTAGTTACGATTTACAGTCTTAAAAAATATTTTATTGTTTAATATTGGATTATAATTTTAGAATATACTTTCCCAAAAATTTGAAACTTTTGGCAATCAATGAAAAAATTTGAAAAATTCTTTTCTTTTTATAATAAAAAAGGCTATGAAACCTAATTACTTCTAACTTTAAAAATAGTTTATTAGAAGTTTTTATTTGAGTTACATATCTGTTGTTACAAAACAAAAAATTTTGTAGAAATTTATATGTATTATCATTGTTTCTCACTTTATTTTTTATAATGTGTATAAACATATGCATGTATTATATATAAAAGAATGATGATAATAAGAAATTGCTTATAGGTGCGGATCCTGATCATGCAGAAAACATAGCCAACGCTCTATGTATTTCTAAGAAAAAACAACACAATGTAAAACCAAAATCTCATTATAGGTATCAAATCGTTATTAAAATATATTTTTATATATAACATTGAAATTGAAAAATCCTATCATTTTTACAGGATACTCGATAAAATAGAGATACTACAAGTAGGTGAGAGACAGCTCAGTATAATCCAAGACTTTGTAAAGTATTGCAAATTAAAGCTGAAAAAAGAAAGAATCAACTTCTTTGTTGAGGCAGATAAAGCTTTGAGTGCTTCTCAAATTTTGTGTATGTCTGCTGAAGCTACTCTCAAAGAAGTCAGCGAGGCTGAGTTGAAATTGAAAGAATTGGAAGCTATGATAGTGATGGTATATATCACAAAATATATTACACGTATATATTTCTTCAAATTAAGGAGTTTATAATTAAACATCTATTATGAAGAAATTAACAAATTTTAATGAAACGTAAATGAGTAACAAGACACATAATATATGATCAATGCTGGAACTATTTAATTGTGTTATTCACAGTGTCTAGTTTGATGTCTAATAATATTTTTGTATAAATTTTAGATGCATCTTTTTACGCATCTTCCAGTTATATATCAACTGTGCGCTTATTAGTATTATTATTAAATTGACGATCAATTTGTGATATTATTTCAGCTTCAATTTATGATTGCTTTTCAAATCTAACATTAATCAATTTATATAATTGGATGAATTTAAAATTAATAGAGAAATATTATTAAGCACCAACAAGACCCACAATCTCGATCGCATTTGACGCATTTTTTACTTAATTATTCAATTGATCTAATTTAACTTTATTATTATTTAATGACACATCTTATTTTATCTGACTACTTTTTCATCCATTTTCAAAAATGCCTAAACTAAATTTCTTTCTTTTAGCCTAGAAACAGCCGAAAATACTCTTACATATTGTATAGCATTTCATTCGGTGGATTCTGCGTTGCAACATTCATATTATTAAACAGACTTTGGAGATAAAAGATTTATAGTGTTAAAATGCATAGATTATATACTGATATATGTACTGATATAATTCTTTCATTATCGTAAGTTCATAAATCGTACAAACAAATTTTTTATATACTTTATAAACATGTGTCATAAATACATATTGTTAATAAGATGTTTCAGAATAAGGATTCGTTTTAATTAATGTACCATTCACAGTGTACCTAAAATCCCAGGAAAATTTCAATCACTGTCATTTCCATCAATATAGATAATCTTTAATCTCAGTTCAATCTATTTTTCATCTTTTTCTAATTCTAAGAATTAGAAAAAGAAAAGTCAGTTGAACCAAGATTAATCTACATTTTGGCTGTGTTCAGTAGAGAAAGCAGTTTAGCAGCTATTGTGAAGTTCTTTTATATACAATAATTAGTTTTGCCCTTAGTTCCTTACTGAATCTAAATAAAATCATGTCAAAAAATTTTACAAGTTGCAAAGCTTCCTCTGCTGAACGCATTGATTATTGAAACGGACATCAGTTATTTATATAAATCCAAAATTTACTTAAAATTAACCGGCATAATTGGATTTAATAAATTCTTGTCCTTTTCTCAAGACAGAGCCGGAAATAAGTAAATCCTTTCCGCCTCGGTATACTATCCCTTTTAGAAGTAAATTCCAATGAAGGATGAGGAAGTCAAAGAGTCCGCGCATATATAGGAACAAATCGCGATGAAAATCGAAGAGAGTCTGCGGACAAATCGCGACAGTCGCGACTATGGCTACGGGGAAAGTCGAGAGGGATGTATAGGGTAAATCGCGAGAAGGTTCGTTCGAAGATTATGATTATGGGGGATTTCGGGACGGACGCAACGGCACAGTACGGCGCCGGATCCGCGTACACACCCCCGGGGCCGCCGTCGAAGCGGCGAACGCATGCGCATGCGCTCGGTCGCTGCGTGAGCTTTGAAATCTCCGCTTCAGTCGCACTAAGATGGACGGCGGAGCGTACGGCGGTGGAAAGGCCGGGGCCCCTTTCGATCCGATCGCATTCGTCCAGCGGCCGCAGGTCATTCTGAGAGCGTTATGCCTGGTAAGTCGTCGCAGCCTCCTGAAAGCGGAATCGTTTCAAGGTCGATTCAAGAGCGTGATCGCGACGACGACGGTACGTGCGTAAAAAGAGAGAGAGAGAGAGAGACGGAGGGAGGGGGGGCGAGAATGAGCGAGATCCCTCGACGCGGATGGTCATTGATTTTAAAAGAGCCTCGGCTCCTCCCCCACTACCACTACCACGATGGAGTTCTATTGATTTTTCGCGAATTCCAGCGGTACGCACCCGTGCACCATGGATCTCCATGGTGTTCGATGTATAATTGGGACCCGTTGCTGTTTGATTCGATGGAGCGAATCATTTATTTGACCTTCTTCACGGATATATCTCGAGCGAAATGCGGAGCTCGGATCGCAGACCTCTCCCCGCATTGTCTTCTTGACAACGTTATTAACTAATGAATTTTATCCCATTCGTCATTCTCTCTGTTTTTCTCTTTTTCTTCTCAAAAACGCTTATTTCTCCTGTACTATATAAATGTAGAGAAGCAGTGGTTGAATATGCAAGGCACCTGCAGCCAGAGCATGTCAAGCGCAAGATTCGAGATATTTTAAGATTGGAATTATATTTGAAAAAATATTGAAGATTTTGAACTAGCATATTTATAAGTTAAATTGAATTTTTAATAGATTTTTATTAATTTCAAACTCAGGAATTTTTTTTCAGCCAAGACATACAGCAATATTTTTTTTCTCCACTTAATTATTATTTATATATTTTATCAAATATATTACAATAAAATATAAAAATAATTCAAGAATATTAAATATATATTTATAAGCTTTTGTTTTGCATTGCTTTTGCTAAAGTATTGGGCTTTAAGCTACTTTCCTTTTAGAAGACATGGTTAATACATACGTCATTCTATCCTTCTTGGCATTTAATGAACAAAGATAGAACGATTCTAACTTCTAAAAGGAAAAACAGCCATAATTTTTATGTATAAATATTTTATATTTTGTTATAACACAATATATCTTCATCTTCTGAGTCTCTATTATTCTTCATTCATTGTTCTACAGAAGAATTTTTATCATGCTTCTAGCTATTTGCAATAATCGTGTTTGGATGTATAAGCAGCAAGGGCTATCTTGTGAAAGACGATGGGAAAGAAGTTTGTCTTTACAATGAAGACAATAATGCGTGCAACTATGGAATTGGTATCGGAGTACTGGCGTTTTTGGCCAGTATCGGATTCCTTGCGGGTGAATACCTGTTCGAACAAATGTCGTCCGTCAAGACTAGAAAACATTTTGTTCTCATAGATTTAGGGTAAGCTGTGTACATTTTTATAGTCTACTAGACATTATAAAATTTGTCATGATCTTAATCATGTCAAAAATATTAATGAGAAATCCTTCGACATATCTTAATACATAACTTAATATACCATATATTAATATAATAATATCACAATTACAGTTTCTCGGGTTTATGGTCTTTCCTTTATTTTGTGGGATTCTGTTACTTGACAAATGCATGGAATAATTCTGTAAGACCAAAGGACGGATATGGAGTGAATAATGTACAATCGGCTATTGCATTCTCGTTCTTTTCCATCTTTACCTGGGTACGTTAGATGAAATTCATGCGGCAAATTTTATTTAATTGTTAACGTCTATTTTTAGTTTTCTTTGATTTAAATAAATAAACGATTATGTTCTTTGAATTTTCCTCAGAATTGTATTCTGTTATTACAGGCCGCTTGTGCTTGGTTCGCGTTTCAAAGATTTAAACAAGGTACTGACGCGGCATTCGCTCCAAGTTACGAGGCGGATCCTGTCGGTGGTACAGGATACACAAGTTATCCTGACGCCACTGACACTGCTTATCAAGAACCGCCGTTCGGTCAACAACAACAGCGAGGTATGGGTGACTTTCAAGCCCCAGCTTACTAAAAGTCATCCATAGTCGTACCAAAATGTATTTCCATTAAATGCACAGCGAGCTACTTACGAAAGAAGATGATTTAGGATAATTTTTCAGAACAAGATATATTGTTTTCCATCACCTATTTTGCTTAAAGGTAATCTCAATATTATTACAAAACTATAATTTTGATACTTTTATTACTCATAATTTCCTGCGTATTATTGTTTTTATTGATACTAACCTAAAAGAAAAACGTAAGAAATATATATTCTAATGTATCTCTAGTTCCGGTGAATATAATGTGCTAAGGTATGTAAAAGATGATCATCAGTCAAGATCTATTTAAGAATCGTCAGTGCGCAAAATTCTTTTTTTTACGATAAATAGTTTTAATAAAATGTGTAGTAATTACATTAAATTGTATTTTCCTTTTCAGACTAAAGAACTTCATTCGCTGATAGGTCGCTGGGCAACGCGTTGGTCATAGAGTAAGTTTTCATGGCAAGATGTAGAAGGAAGTTATTTGTTAAACTGTGCTTCTTATTGTTGACCACTTGTAAGTTACACTTATCCATACGCCCAATGTCACAAAAAAATGCATTAGGTATGTTTGAAATTCATATATGCCTGGACATGCGTTACGACAGTGGCTACTGACCATCTATGGGAAGTAAATATAATATCTTATAATGAGTAACACTATAGCTAAACTCCATAAATAAGTAAGAATTAGTACATGCACAGGCTATGTATATTTTAACGTTGTAACGTGTTCATGGTAAATGCGACTTAAATATAACAGTAATATTATGCGTTGCATTATTATGCAATTAGTATTAAACGATGTACACGAAGTCTAGGATTGAAATCAGTAAGTCTCGAATAAGTCGACATATGTTTTAATATTAGTGAGACAATATTTAAGTTACTTAAGTTACTTGTCGTATGAGTTGTAAAATAATGGAATATTTCCTTACAAAATAGCATTAGCAAATATAATTGCACTTATAAACCGCGATGAATAACAAAACCAAAGTTTTTATTAACATTAAAAAAAAAAATATATATATATATATA